AAAAATGAAGCAGCATAATTTCATTGCCATAATGCTCTGTGTCAAGTCTGCTGTGATTTGGCACAGGTTGTTGTTGGGAATAACACCTAGATCTAACAAAATTATATATTAAATATATTTTAAAAATATATAATATAAAATATATATTATATATTCAATAAATTAAATAAATTGTTGGGATAGTAGGAATAGCACCTAGATCTAACAAAATTATATATTAATATATTAAATATATTTAAAAATATATAATATAAAAAATATAAATTATATATTAAATAATTTAAATTGTTGGGAATAGTGGTAATAGCACCTAGATCTAACAAAATTATATATTAAATAAATTGAATGTAGCTTCATTTCAAATATAACATGATTATAATTTAAATATAATATAATTATAATTTAATCAATAATATCAATAATATGTATTGATATAATGGTATCAATAATGATATGTAATAATATCAATTTTTCAATAGAGAACAACTATTTCTCTTGTTTCCTTATAGTTATGGAAATATAGGTGCAGTTTCTGTGTACGTATGTACAGTAAAATCCATTTTTTCCTCTATTTTTATCAATTTCTCCCCTCAGTTTAAATGCAGCAGTGAAAGGTTTATTTTGGTTCAGACCTGCTCATAGGTTGTGTATTGTTCATTTAAGAACTTCAGCCTGAAATTACCACTGCTTCCAATTTTACACATCAAAATTCCACATTTAACTTATTTTGGCTGATTTTCAATATTTGGCAAAAAAGGGGAGAAAATACTTTAAAATTAATTGTTGTTTTTTTTTTTTTGAACTGCAGGATGTCCAATATACAGATATTGACTACATGGAAAGAAACCTGGACTTCACCATTTCCTCAAAATTTGCTGGATTACCTGCTCTGGTCAACAAAATCAAATCAGAAGGAATGAGATTTATCATTATCCTGGTCAGTTTGGAATATTGCTTTTAAATCCCAATATAGCATCACAAAACTGAGAATATATCCAACATCAATTTTGGGCACAAGGGTAAGAGTGTTTCTAATTGCAGGATCCAGCCATTTCTGGGAATGAAACCGATTATCCTGCCTTCAGCAGAGGTGAGGCCAATGACGTCTTCGTACAATGGCCTGATACCAAAGAAATTTTATACTCCAAGGTACTGTCCAGGGAAGAGTATTAAACCTGTGTGTTGTTGATGCTCAGTTTGTATTTAGTGTGGTTTGATTATTTTAAATATTCTTTGTCTTATTAGGTCTGGTCGTTTCTTCCCAATGTCCAAATCAATGAGTCACTGTCTCATGAAGAACTAGTAGAGGTAAATACTGACATGGTTTGGTTCTGGACTCAAATATAGACACTAATCAATTAAAATAATAAACTCATTGATAAATCTCAGGGCATGAATAAGTTGCAGAAACTGCAACTAAGCCTTCCTAAAAGCCAAAAAATTTAGTGAACAAGCCGTTATTTTTTGTCTTCATTTATTAATTTTTTTAATTCAAGAATTTTAACTATGGAATACCTTCAGCCCCCTTATCTGTCTCCTTTTTCTTCTGTTTTTACAGTCCTATGTAGCACACTGTGCTTTCCCAGACTTCTTCCGCAATTCCACGATGGAGTGGTGGAAGAGGGAAATCCTGGAGGTCCACGACAATCCCGATCCCTTAAAAAGCCTCAAGTTTGATGGGCTGTGGACCGTAAGTGTGGAAATGCATCTGATTTCTGGATTGTCCTTCTCTGCCTGACACTGCTG